TCGCCGATCGATTCACCAATCGATCTCTCGAAACTTACCGCGTTGGCTGTATCGCATTGTAATAACAAATGGCTGGCAGCACCTCACGATCACGGAAACACACATCGAATGTATACCAGGCGACCGCTAAATAACAGAGTTCTCGGTCTTTAATTCACAAGTTAATTCGTTAGATCGATATGTATGGTATCGGCGATTCGTGCCACGAGAATAGCCATATATGCGTATATGGTTACATATACGTATATATATATAGAAAAAAATGAGTGGGCCGGGTGGCTCCGTGCGTGGTGACGCTAGGGGCCTTATAGAAATCGTGTAAAAGGGTCTCGGGAATCGTCGAGAGGCTCCGGAGAAATATTAGAGAGCAAGAGACAGAGAGACAGAGAGAGAAGGAGAAACGACAAAACCGATATCCAAAGACCGGTAATTTGGTCGTCCGTCAGATGGCGCCTTCGTGACCGGCTAACATTACCGAGTCAAATCGGTTCGAAATTCAAATTCAAATGCGCCCGCGCGCCTACCCATATCCATGGCTCACGGCTGCTTTTCTACTAAACCGTTTTGATTATACTCATTTCGCCGGCACTCGGTGGCTCCTCCGATCGCGAGTCTGTTTGGCCCAGCCTATACCCGACCTGCTTCCCTGTCTCTTCCTGCACGAGTCCTTCGTTTCCCTTTATGCTCCATCACGTAAACAGGAGGAGGGCCCCCCCCCATCCCCATTCTTCCTGGAAATCGTGCCCCCGTCGATAGATACGGCAGATGCCAGACACACGGAGTCTTGCGCTGCCGCGTGAGCCTTCGCAACCAGAAGTAGCAATTTTTTTTTGTTCCTTTCAATTTTTCTCCATTTACGTATAATTCGTAAACAGGCCTTCTAACTCTGCGTTAACTCAGTACTCACGTCACACGTTTCACCGTAGGCCACGATGTTAACCGGTCCCTAGTCGGCGGGTCTGTATAATCGACGCGTGCATATTAATATCGCATGGAGCGAAGGACAACTTTGTTGCAATCTCGATATCACGTTGTACCGAGTGTATAGAGTCTTATGTCTCATTATTGTGTAAAATGTTAATTGCACTTTAGCTCGGCTCGGCAACATTGTAGCAACTTGCGACATGCGCTATGCAATTATCATCCCGCGGTATGTCGGCTCACGTGCGACTAGTAATTGCGCACGTCACTTATCTCCCAGCAGGTTGCGGCGCAGTGACTAATGCGATCCTAGAGCCTAATGCTGTCGCCAGTCGTCATTGAGAAGCCGTTCGCGAGCGGTGAACGTATTTGATTTTTTTTTCTTTTTCGGAGGAAAAAAATAAAAGACGACAAAAAATGGTTAAACCTGTATAGACTATTTCTATATAGACTATATCTGTATCTATATAGACTATTTCTGTATAGACTATAGACGAAATAGACTATTTCTTCGTCTCGTCGAGTATACGCACTTTTCTCCGTTACCAGTTGCCCTGCACTTTCATCCCCGTTTCGGTCCACGGAGTCACGTGTCCCGGGGAATATCTATTCGTTCGGATTTCTACCGAGACGCCGGGGGGTTCCCCGGCTGTTACCTGAAAGTGAAGCTCGGCGGGTTGAACGTTTGCGCGCCACATTTGAAATTCGCTGCCGTAATCTGAGTACGTGACCGCACGTCACGTACGCGGCAAGACGGCTGCCGCTGAATTGGGTGACTTTTGGCACCCCCGATACGGAGACTTTGAAAGGAGAGAAAAAAAGTATGCAACCCCAACCTCCTCGAATCTCGTATATAGGCGAGGCTGCCGGTATGTACGGTAGGTGCATCTACCCTTGACGTTCAACCTCCCCTCTCCTGTGCTAGCACTCGGCTCACTCCAACCCTCCCGGTCTCCCTCAGCACCAGCCGTTCATTGGCCATTGGCAAGATGAGTCGAAACTCCCTATGGGGATTTTTGGTACCTAGCAACCAAGTGGGGGAGGGTGTGCGGTAACCACATGTTGCTGGGACCTCTTTGTTAGTGCGCGCCGATTTCCAGAAACGATACGGGACGCCTGCGTGTTTTGAAAAATCATCCAGCCAACCCCCTGGCCCATTTCTCTACTCGTACGAACCCTCTGGAAATCTTTTAGTTTTTCACCTTCGTTCCGGTATCAACGCACGAGGGAGGCCTTTTGCATTTTTACTTGTTATTTTTATTTACTTTTTATCGACGTGTCTGATGATTTTTGGGCGTTGATAAGGAAACAAAAAATATTTAATACGAATTCCTCTTGGAACTTGACGCACGCGTCCGAGGGGGAAGATTTAAAACTTGGACACTACTGGGGATTTTTACGGGGTTACGTTTGTAGCCGTGGTATAGCTCGTGTGCTTTTGTTGGGCTAGGTGTTGGGTACCACCGTTCAGGATCTCTGGATTTGACTTTGCAGTTGCTGCGCGGCGCAGCATCATCGTCCTATGGACCCCGAGGATCCTTTGCGCGCGGCGTGTTTAACTTGGCGAGGAGTGCCGGGGAGGGGCGCGGAGAGGCAGGGGGGAGAGAGAATAAGTGAGGAAGAGAGAGAGAGGGAGGGAGTGAGTGCGTGTGACTGGTAGAGAAGAAACCGGACAGGAGAGAGGGCCAGTAAAAGTGACGAGGGTATGATGTTCGCTTTAATATCCACCAGCAGGTCTCTCTCTCTCTCTCTCTCTCTCTCTCTCTCTCTCTCTCTCTCTCTCTATCTCTCTATCTCTTTCTTTGTCTCTCTTATATACTATTCGTCACCGGTAACATCGACGATGGAAAACGTGGTTGCTGGGTACGGCAGGCAGCGCATGGGAAAACTGCGATGTACCAATACGTAGGACGGAAGATGAAGAGAGATAAATCCTTCTGCATCTCACTTCGAGATCTTGGAATTTTATAAGGGAAAGAAAAAATATACCCGATTATTTTCGTTTTTCCTTTTTTTTTTTCCCCCTATTTTTTTTCGTTGACTTTCTGGAAAACTCAAGAGACGCACTCGTGAATAATGATTCTGTGACGTGAGTACTGAACGTTTCACGTGGGATCCTCGAATGCCGGACAAATGAGATCCGCACTGAAAATACGCAACAGACACCAAACGGGGACCCACCGTTACTGGCTTCTTAATTCTTGATCTCGGATGAAATCGTGCCCGGCTCTTGATTTGGTAACACGATCCAAGCGTAATTCGGTTAAGACAATGTGATTTCTATCTGTATAAACGAGATACAAATATCTTGGACGAGCAGCGATTATTATAATGCGAGTCGATCTCTACGTATAGGTGCCCCGTTATGGGGATGCCTTGAGGATGCCCGATTATACGAGCACTCGAGCGTGTCGTTACATTTGGGCCTTGCCGTAATCTTTCATCTACAACGACACGAGGCTGTGCTCACGTTGCGACGCTCGGCGCGAGGAAGTCGCCAGATTGGATTTTCAAACTTGACCATATTTTTCTCCGTCCCCCTTTATTACGTTATACAACAGTTCTCGTGGGTTACCGAGAAGGCTTGGGGCGGGGCCCAGTACGCATTTTCAGGAGACCAATGGGATCACGGGCCCAAAATAATGTCAGTCTCGTACGATTACAAGACGCTCGAAACCATAGGAAACAGGAGTGACCCGAAAGGGTCAAGAACTGACTCGCGAACCCGTACGGGATATATGTAACAATGGAGACGAAATAGCCAGTGGGACCGATTGGGACCTGTTTCGTCCTTTCGTAGTAGGAGCCCGTAGAGCTGAGTAAATAAATAAATAAATAATGTTCACAGCATCCTGCGTCCTGGTAAATAAATAAATAGCCGGTTTTTCTTGCGTCTGACCAATAGGTCCCGTATCTCTTTGTCCAGGGCCCATGCGCGTCGCACGTTTTCGTGGGCCCGACGCGAGGATTAGACACGCTATACTAAACCGAGAAAGAGGAGTACGGTTGCTGAACGGCAACCATAGCCTGGACTAGGTCTGCTGGCAGGTCCTTGCGGGATTATGTCCGCCATTACGTTTTATTGTTTCTCTGGGACTGAGGCGGTACCCTAGGCCAGGGCGAATAGTGTCGAGGAGAATACGGATGGGTAAAAAGAAAAAGAAAAGAAGAAAAAAAAAAGGGATATGGTGGGAGAGCCAATGTGGGCCTTGCGTATCTCCTAAGGATCTACGTGCATTTTCACTTAGCCGGTACACGATACCCGGGATCGGGGGGGCCCGAAAGTAATATGGCGGAGGATGGATCATTAGTAGCAAATGTTCCAAGAGTACCTTGGGCCTGACCTCACACCCCTTCCTTTTTCATAAACCCAAATCTCTCCGTAAACCACCATAACGATCCTTTGGTCCATTGCTAATTTGATTCATCGACGTAGCTCGGGGACCCGTCGGGCCCGATTGCAATTTTCTTTATTTCGTGTTTTGAATTATTTTTGGAATTTCTTGGTCGCTCGATCTTGGAAAAAAAAAATTATAGAAAATCTAGACAACCTATCTGGCCTGACCGGTGGAATAAAATTTTTCACTTTCCACCCCTTCCTCGCGACGCCCTCGAACAGGCCAGGGGAAGGGGGAGGGTGAAGTCTCTTCGAGAAGGCCCAATGCATCATCTTTGGACGACCGGCGTCTCGGAGATAATTGCCGGGCCTTCAATTAACGACTGTCAGCTTTTCGACGGGACTGTCATTTTTTCGTTTCACTAAAATTTATCTAAAAAGATCGGCAAACGATACACTACCTGGCCCAAAGCCAACCACCCTCCTGGCCCGGTTTGGCTTCTCCATTCCCCGATGACCCATCTTCTAGGGTTACAGCCGAGTGTGGAATTCGTGGAGCGTCTTTACAAATTTTTTTTTTTACTTTTCTTTTTTCTCATCTCTTTATACGTAAACGTTTACCGATGGACGATCTGTTATTTTTTTCTTTTCTTTTTTTCTTTCTATCCATCTCCTATCTTTCTACGTGACGGTCTCTTTGGATTGCGCCGATTTATCAGCAAGCTTTTTACTCGAATTTCAGGAGAGATCCAACGGAAGAGCTAACATCACTGAGGAACCTTGCGACACGCTACAATTAGTCAATCTCTGCGTACCTCAAAGAACGACTGCACTTGTAAGTAGTCTCGAAAGAGAGGAAAAAAGATTGCTGACAAAAAGGATTATAAAAAAAAAAGAAGAAGCGAATCAAAAAATTATTTGCTTGAATGGCACTTTTTTGCTATACAACCTCACGTCTAATATACACGGCTCGCACCTAATCACTATTTAATGATCTTGCGTCACTCGCAGTTGTTTGTGTTGTGCCTGAGCACCTGATATGCACGTAAATTGATTGATTAGCGTTAAATGCAAAGAAAAGTGAAAAAAAAAAAGAGAGGACAGATAAAGATAAACGATAACTTTGCTTGGATAAAGTAGTATAATTTACGAGGGATCGCTGTTATTATCGTAGTACCGTGTATATGTACAACATATTCGTTGAGGATGTCCTTAAATAGATTCGCGCTACTATAACAATGGGCCTAACGAGGGGCCCTACCAACACTTATCAAAATGAAAAGTCCCCGAGCTAATGACGCGCCCTGTATTTTCTGTTTTCTCTCGTCACCCTGTGCGTTTTCTTTTCTCGGCATTCTCTCCTCTCCATTCAGATGTAAATTCTCATCGGTCCCATTTTCTCCTTAAGCTTCGAACGAGCGGGCAAGGCTCCGTTCGCGCGATTCTCGAAATATTTCCTTCCCTCCCTTATATCGCAGCGAATCGACATCCCTTCCGGCAAATTAGCGAGTTCCTCGTAACGCGCATCCGTTTACGCACACGCACTTAGCAGCTGTCCTTTTTATCTTTAGACGCCTATGCGTGTGTGCTTTGGGACTTACGCTACTAGCGCAATGACGGCTGCACGCCCAAACGGGCCAGAGGGACGGCTGCAGGACGAGGTGCAGGATCTCTTTGTCCCTTACGGAGATCCTTGCAGCACTGACCTGCTGCTGCATTGGCGTAGGGAACTACATACCCGAATATATACGTAAGGCACGAAATACTTTAGCTCACTGGATATCCTTGAAAAGAATTTTTTCTCCCGGACAGGCAGGGACTATGTTAAACTTCCGCCAATGCGTGACTTATTTTTCTCGCAATACGACTGGGCTCTCTCGATCTCTAACCTAGCGAGAGAGAGAGAGAGAGAGAGAGGGACAGAGGGACAGAGGGAAAGAGGAAAGTGAACTGGCGAACTGGCTGACTGCTGGATCCTGCAATCCCGCTGAGTTGCGGTTAACTTCTGCTGGGGCCCCAACGATCCTGGGGCCCATACACATTGTTACACCGATCGCCAGTTTGACAGGTCCCTCTCTGCTAGGTACTACTCCATCTCTTATCCCTCTTCATCTTATACATATTGGTATATCTATATAGGTATACCAGCAGTCTTCTAGGTACGATGCGTGCTTGGGCCCCGCAAGAGATTAGTGTTTGGAATTAGGATGCCTTTCGGGGCCTTATGGGATTCTTTGTTGGGACGTGAAAAAAGTCAAGCCTTGTAAGCGAATTTCGATCTCTGGACTCTTTTTGAAGATTACAGGATTAAGGTAATACGTAAAAAGAAGAAAGATGAATTATCGAATTTGGATTTCTGAAATGTTTTCTCGTCTTCCTGTACTCGCTGGAATTTATTATAGACCAAAAATTAGGGGTACCTGCATTCAGGTGGAGTGGTCCAACGGGTGTTCGGCCTCGTTGAAAATTTAAAACTATGCGGTGGGCGAGCTGACGCTGAAGAGGGTCAGGTGGGAAATCTCCCTTTGACTGTTGGGCCCACTTGCTGAACAACCCCATTGGAAATATTTATTCCGTCGCATGTTTCTGGATCCCTAGAATAACCCAACCTCTTAGCACGCAAATGACTTTGCTCACGGACACTGCACTTTCTCGTTGGGAGACACGGCGCAGGGGTTGGCGATGAACCGCTCACCAGGGGTAGCAGCCATAAACC